ATAAGTGAACCCGCCAAGAAAGACTTTTTTGTATCTTTGTAGCCCCTCCAGTGGGCCATGCATGCTGCCGTTGTTCAGTATGTGTTCATGGGAGGAAGATACTGATATTAGAATGGACTGCGTGTAGCTTAGGTAGTTCACCTCCCTTCCTGGGGATCATTAATCCAGCATTTTCAGCTGTCAGGCTGCAGGCTTGGGAGGAGTCAGGTTCTTTGGCATTTCTTCTTGGCTTTTTGCCATCAGCTTTTGCCCTGGAGAAAGAAGAGGCCCCAGCAAGGAGCCAGCAGACAGGGTGCACAGGAGGGACGGGGTCAGTGTGTCAGTGCAGGTGTGGGGCAAGGAGCCAGGAGCTTGCTCAACCAGGAAAGGGGTGCAGACGCCGCTTTAATAGTACTCTTGGCACTTAATCCTGCCATTCCCCTCTCCCCGGGCCTCTCCCAGGCCTCTCCCTATTCAGTGGCCAACCTGTGCTTTGGGGGCTGAGGGTATGGGCTGGGCCGTCTTGCCATCTTGAGATTCCTCAGCCCCTTCATTCTCTGGAGGCAGTACTGATGCAGGGAAAGCATTCAGCTTTGAGGCGGCACTTCTGGATTTCAGCCATCACTTTGCCCCTCCCTTCCTGTCTGACCTTGGGTTCACTGACCCTGGGCTAGTAACTTACCTTCTCTGAGCCTCATATGTAAAATGTAAAATGGGGCCTAACAATGGCATCTCCCTTATAAAGCTGTTGGACAGGTTCAATAAGCTAATACAGGACAGCTCTTAGAAAGGTGTCTGGCACACAGTAGCAATGCAGTAAGTGTTAGCTATTAACTTTGTATTCGAGAAGTATCCTCTCCTGGACTGATAATTTCCAGAAAAAGCTTGGTCTTCCTGCGAGCTTTCGATTTCTCTTCTTCCACATTGAGGTAATTCTGGTCTTAGTTACCTTGATCTCCCATTGTAATACCATTTTGTACATCTTGAGGAATTGATATTCTAGCGAAATCCACTCTGCTGATAGATGTTTCCAGAGTGGGTTCTCTTCTTCAGCAGGCATCCCTAGTCCGATTGCCCGGACACCCAGAATTGCTAGATTTTTTTCTTCTTCTAGCAAAACAAGGCCCTCCCATGCTTAGGGATTACAAACAGAGGTAGAATTAGGGTTGGATGAGGAAGTACAGTGATGCATGCCAGAGATTCAGATGGGAAAAAAGCTAAAGGCACAGTATTAATACTAGCTCAGGGTGAATTTTCCCTAACAGTAATTATGCTATCCTAACTAGTGTGCTGTGGTTCAGACCCAAGACCCCTGCTGGCATTGGTGTCAAAAGGCACGGGTTCAGTAGCTCATTCTTTAGTTAATAGCTGTGTGGCCTTGAGTGAGTAATCTTAGTTCACACGCTTCAGTTTCCTCGTCTACAGAGCAAGAGGTTGGCTCTCAAGTTGTGTGAGTATAATACTTGGATGCTGTGTTGTGGCCATGCAGATGAACACTGGCCCACATGCTTAGGAGTTCATTATGAGTAGGAAGTTGGCTACATGAGAACACATATCTCCTGCTACATTAAAAAAAAAAAAAAAGCTAATGCACTTGATTTTTGTGGGTCGTCCACCCGTACTGCTGGAAAATATGAGCATTTCAGTATGTGGCAAGAGAAATGAGAGGAGGTTGGAGGGAGGGCCACGGGGAGGCCTGGTGAGGTGTGGAGGGGGCAAGCATGGTAAGTGTGGATTGGGCCACTGCAAGGTTCCTGCTTTCAAGTTGTGGCTCCAACCCTAAATTATTTTATGAAAAGGTACAGTTAGAAAACAATAACCTGAGAAGACCAGGTTCTGGGCAAAGATGATTCTTGGGTCATCTGGAAAAGCAGCCGCAGCTTCAAGGAGAAATGGCAAATTATCAGAAATAGTAAGGCAGGTCGGGGCTGGGTGGGAAGCGCCTCCACCCTTCAAGCAGAAGGAACCAGAACAGTTTCCATTTCTGGAGACAAGTGCCTGAGCTGAAGAGGTTAAAGCAACCTGAGTGCAACTGAGTTCATTCGAGAAGGGTGGAGACATTCAGTGCCACAAATGAGGCACTACTGAGCCCTGCACACCCGCCTGTAGGCGTTCAAAGAACTAAGATCCAGCGATTCTTCATTGGAGTCCCTGGCTGTGGGAAGAGGGAAAGGCAGAGCCCCTGACCCCAAACAGCTGCATCTTCCCACAATGAAGACACTGGTTACTGCAAGCCTGCTGCTCTCAGCTACACCCTGACCCTCAGGAAATCTGCCGGCTCCTTCCTTGTTCCTCTTGTTTGATCCAGGGAAACTGGGATTTCTTGATGGAAAGAACAGGTTGCTCCTGGCCAGGAAGGGCCTGCAGCTGCATGTGCATGTCTTCGCTCCAGAGAGAATCCACCCTCCCAAAGAGGAACAGAGGCTTTTGGCTTTAAGGACCTTCCAGCAGCAGAGGCGGGCTGCTGGGCAGTGGCGTTTCAGTGGCCGCCTAGACCCCAGTCTGAGATGTCAGCCTCACCATTTCTACTGAGCAGAGCAGGGGATGGGATTCTGAATGTCCACGTGGGTGACCTTCACTTTTCTGGGAGTTCATTTCATAGATTAGTAGACAAGATCATCCTTAGGGTTCTTTCCATTCTAGAAGTCTATCATTGTGTGTGTTCCTTTCATAACCTAGAGGGCCAGAAGGGACTCTGCACCCTGGGGTCCGGAAGGGAGTAGAGGCTTAAGGCACTGGTCCAGGCTAGCTTCTAGTTGAGAACTGGTCCTTCCCCAGAGGAGGAAACTGAGGCCCAAGGAGAGACATGACTTGCCCCAAGACACACATCTACTTAGTGGTGGGGCCAGGACCAGAGTCTCTGTTCTTGTTCCCATGCCCTTTCTCTTATACAAAGCCAGTGGTGAATGTGCATGGTGGCCCCAGGTGGTGTCACGTTTGTCCTACAGGCTCCCCCTATGGGCTGTGACCACTAGATGAGAATTTTCAGAGACTCCTGCCTTAGTGGGGATGCTGTACTGTAGTGTCTGAGGATGAATGGGCCCAGTTCCCTCCCCCTCCCATGCCATTCTTTCCTTCTTTGTCCCCTACCTCCTCCTGCCTGTGTTCACAAGCTGATCTGTGTGACCGCGTCCTGTTCGTCAGTGATTGTGTTCCCTAAACAGCTTGTCAGGTGAACTTCCCCTTCCAGATTTTGATAGAAGTTCTCTTCTAGGTCTCAGAACTCTGGGGGAAGGAGAACTTTCTGGAAGGGTGAGCCTTTGGAAAGGGAAGAGCACTCGGAAGAGAGGGAATTTGAGGTTCATCCTGAGGGGTTCCCAGAAATGGCAGACGTGCCACCTGTGAGCCCAGAACAGCAGATCAAGGCCAGGCGTGCACCACTAATGGCTGACCCATGTACTCTGGAGTCTGATCACCCTCTCAGTTCTTTGGCCAGAGTTAACACTCATTAGGGAGTGTGACTATCACCTGACCGTGGGAAGCCAAGTTTGACTGCTCAGGTGGTAAACTTTGGAATGCTCTGGATTAAATTTTGCTGATTTTCTGTACTATGACCACTTTTCCTCTTATGCCCCCTAGCCCCACCAACTCTGTTGCCCACCTGTTCCCCACCGTCAGCATGTGCATGCACACGCACGTGCATACAGCCCTAAAGAAAAATAAAATTGAGAACAGCTCTGGGTGTGTTTATGCGAACACCTGGGCTCCCACGGAGAACACACACAACTCTTTCTTTCCTGAGAGTTCACTTAGTTGCTGCTGAGCAGTCAGCTGTGATGTGGTGCGAAGAGTGCTGATAATCAGTCATACAGACCCCAGTGTGCATTTCTGCTCTGCAACTGGGGCCTCTCTGAGCTTCTGCTTCCTTGTTTGGGGAAGGTGATAATAGCAGTCATTCTTCCAGTGGGATGTTGTGAGGATTAAGTAAGGTCATGCATGTTAAGTGCACACACGATGTCAGCATTTAGTAAATCATTGCCGAGACCAACTGTGAGCACGAGCCTCAGTTTTCACCTTTGACAAATAGGTAATAATAATGTATCTGCCTCCTAACACTGTCTTGGGGATTAAAATGAGATGATACAGGTAATAGTTTCTTGTAAACTGTGAATGAAGACAAAGATGTAATGAAGAGGATACCAGTATCACTGATTCAACAGTGTCTTCTCTATTGTGATTAAGTATCTTATCCGGTTTCCAACTCCTGGGCTCTTAAGTTATGTAGGTGCATTGCTGGCCCACAATGCTCAAGTTTATTAAGATATCCATCTCGGAAGTGCTTCCCATCAGGGTCGTTGCAGGAAGTCCTAGTTTCTGCTGCAAGTTTTAGTACAGAAAAAGAGGGACTGTCTTAGGTGGCAATTCGTTTAATTTATTTTTTTCTTCCTAGCAGCCACTGAGCCAGTGGTCCCCTTGAACTTCCGTAGCCAGTTGAGCTATGTCTGGATAGGAGACTGTATCCGCCTCACTCTGCCTCTTCCCAAATCTCTGGCTTGGGTGGGTCCTTGGCCCATGACCCTTTGGCTGAGAATCTGAGCTTAATTCATGGTTGTCCGGTCCCTCAGCAAGGACCGAGACTACTCAGAGCTGACTCTGGATGAGGAACACCCTTGCCTTCCACCCCCACCTGCCTCAGTTAGCCATGACCGGAACCTCACCCTGCTGTGGGAGTCACCATTTTCTGGTTTGGAAGTCTGTCTCATAAAGCAATGACCTTGTAGTTTAAGTTTGTACTTCCTAATTTCTTCCCGCAGGATCTCTGTGAGTAGGATTTGGATAGAATCTTCCCAGTGAGCCACAGAGCTTTCTTCCCGATGCCTCCTCCCTTAGACCATGTTGATTCTGTGCATAGCCCTGCAACCCCCTGGGAGAAAGGACCTGGCTAGGAAGGTGCTGGGCTTGGTTAGTCTGGGAGTGGGGATGAGCTGGAACATCCCAGGATGCCTTTTCTTTCCTCCAGGCCCCTTATGTACCCCCTCCTAATTTCTGCCTGGCTTCTTGCTTCTCCCACACCCCGACAGGACCTGTGTGGGGCCACCACTTGTGACACGCTGGGCATGGCTGATGTGGGCACTATGTGCGACCCCAAGAGGAGTTGTTCTGTGATCGAGGATGATGGGCTTCCATCAGCCTTCACCACTGCCCATGAGCTGGGTAAGGCTGTAGGGTACTCTTGGGTAGAGGGAGGAGAGCACCCCTCCGGGGTCCTTCCGGGTTTGGCCTGAGTGGTTTGGGCATGGGGTAGACATCTGTCTTTGTTTACTCATGTCCTGAAGCCCTAGGAATCCTTTCTTAGGGTCAGAGTCTGTCTTAGCCATCACTTGGTTTTATTTTTTCCAATTGCTCCAGCCTAGTTGGCCAGCGATATTGTCTGACTCAGCAATCAGAGTATCTCATCAATGAGGCACTAAGGGGAGAATATATTAGATACATTGCTGCTCCCACTGAGCCCATAGCCTGACGGACAGGACAGAGAACACACGAACACCATCTTACCATTGGCGAAGCAGTGAGTCTGTCACTAGGTAGAAATGGCCAGCCTGAAGACTGCTGACATGGGCTCTCTAGCTTCCTCAGCCGAACTGCCCTCCCCCTCCTGTTCAAACGGCATAGCCCACATCCTTCTGCCCTCTGAGTCCTCTCGCCTCACCCCACAGGCCACGTGTTCAACATGCCCCATGACAACGTGAAGGTGTGTGAGGAGGTGTTTGGGAAACTCCGAGCCAACCACATGATGTCGCCAACACTCATCCAGATTGACCGCGCCAGCCCCTGGTCGGCCTGCAGCGCTGCCATCATCACCGACTTCCTGGACAGTGGGCATGGTAAGCGGGTGCAACAGAGGGGGGGCTTTGGTGCTGTCACTGGAGTGAGTGCTCGCTACCTCTCTGCACCTGTCCTGTTACCTAAGATGTGCGTGGCCCCACGGATCTGGGCTCTCAGGGGGGCCATTCCACGGACTCTTGCTTCAGTGTCTCCCTATCATCCAGACTCATGGCCGGCTGAGCTCCACCTTTCTCAACTCATCTCTGATGAATGTCCTGGTCTCCCTGCAGGTGACTGCCTCCTGGATCAACCTAGCAAGCCCGTCGCCCTGCCTGAGGACCCGCCAGGTGCCAGCTACAGCCTAAGCCAACAGTGTGAGCTTGCCTTTGGTGTGGGCTCAAAGCCCTGTCCCTACATGCAGTACTGCACCAAACTGTGGTGCACCGGCAAAGCAAAGGGGCAAATGGTGTGCCAGACCCGCCACTTCCCGTGGGCAGATGGCACCAGCTGCGGTGAGGGCAAGTTCTGCCTCAAAGGGACCTGTGTGGAGAGACACAACCTCAGTAAGTACAAGGTGAGTGTGCTGGAGCTGCGCGGGAGGGAGAGGGTGGACTCGGAGGCCTCCAGCGGGAACAAGTTTGCTGTGTGGCCGTATTTGTATCACATCACTGCACTGTGCCTCCGTTTACCTTTCTGTGGTCCTATCACCTTCTTGACTCTGATATGGTAGGTCAGAGAACTTGGTGAAGCCTCAGACATGTGAGGAGTCTTTCATGTGGAGTAAGGGGGCCCAGCCCTGAGTTCTGTGCCTCATTCTACCTGGGGAGGAGCCCTGAACCCTAAGCCAAACACTGGATATCAGGCATTCCTTACTTGTTGGCTCCTTCCAGCCTCCTCTTATCAGCTATTTCTTTTTCTTTTCTTTTTTTTTTTTTATGATAGTGATGACTAAATTTATTGAGCACTCACTCTAAATTCTTTATTTAAAATTTTTTAATGTTTATTTTATTTTTGAGAGAGAGACAGACAGACAAACCATGGGTGGGAGAGGGGAAGAGAGAGAGGGAGACACAGAATCCAAAGCAGGCTCCAGGCTCTGAGCTGTCAGTACACAGCCCAACATGGGGCTCGAACCCGTGAGCCGCGAGATCATGACCTGAGCCGAAGTCTGACACTCAATTGACTGAGCCACCCAGGTGCTCGTATTACCTATTTCTGAGTGTGTTCTGTTTCCAGGGAGCTCTGGGCCAGAAGTGAACCAGGCTCAGAACTGAAAGGACACAGACCTTTGGGCAAGCTTCAGTAATTTGCTACATCCCAAACCAAGTTTCTGTCGTGGTTGTTTTTTGAAGCTGAAACATAACTGAGCAAAAGTGTTTTTCCTGGTAAAAAGGAATAACAGTTGAATAAGAACAAATTTAAAACCCCACATATTCTCTGAATGTAATAAAAACTGTATATTCTTCCGGTCTGGGGGTGGGGTCCCAAAGGGATTAGGACTTTGTCCGACAGGAATAAGCAGTCCATACTCTTTCTGAATCCTGGGGATGATGGTCCCTTCTCCATCCTTGTCTCGGCTGCAGAGGGCTTTGCCTTGGGGTTTTATGTATGGCGGGGGGGGGGGGGGAATATAATACAAAAGCATTTGCCAGTACTTTGTCAGTTTCCCTGAGCTGGGTTTGGTACACAATCATGTAAAATCTTATTCTATGTTTTGGGAACATATATTTAATTAAGCCTTTGGCCATTTATTAGGCATCACCCCCACTGTATTCGGAGAACAGTGTGGGATACTGTGTCATGGTCAGTAAAAGAAATAAAACATGGGTTGTGTCTCAGTAGGCTCACAGGCTAGTAGGGAAGCTAGAAATGTCACTGTTATCCAAGACCCAGAGAGGTGTGTATTCTGTTTAAGATAGAATGAAAACATGTCATGGGGGAATAAGGAATGAGAGATTAATGATGATTGGGGGGGTCTGGAAAAACTTTGATGAGGAGGTCAGATTTGGAGAGAGCCTTGAGGAATGGGGAGGGTCTCAACAGGCAGAGATGGAGCAAAGTCAGGGAGGTAGGGCAAGCCGAAGGAGTGGACAGGCCAGAGCTCTATGGGAAACATCTTTGGGGGCATAGTTTGGGGCTAGTCTGGGGTTACTTTGACCACCAGAAGGTCCTGAGGACAGGCCAGCCACTGCCAGTTCCTTCTCTTGGGAAGAGGAATCTGGAGGATCAAGACGTTGCCCAAGAGGATACTGGATATAGGAAATGGGATCTGCGAACCACAGTCTTTCCACAGTCTTTCTGGAATTCTCAGTCCATGAGCAGCAACATCCACCATATCCTCAGTCTCTTTGTTGGCCCTTCATAGAGGACGCTGCCCTAATCAGCCAAGGTCAAAGCACAAAGCTTATCTTACTGATCACACAGCCCTGGTCCTCCCCCACCCCCCACCCCGATCTCATTTGCAAGAATCACACTCTGACCCCCAAGGCTCTGTTGTCCAGCTCTCTAGTTTTGGACTCCAGCAATTCTTCAGTCCCACCTGCTCTTCTTGTGCCCTCACTAACCTTCTTCTTGAGCTGCAATTCCATAGTCCATTGTTAAAATCACTCTTTCATATATACTCATGGCTCCCATGCCCCTGCTTCTCTCCATTGTACTCACAAAGATATGCCACTGTCCTGGTGGAATCCAACTCTCACCTACTCAAATGTGCTGGTGGAGGTGAGTAGGGCTGGAGAAAGACATGGAACTGTGCTAAGTGGTTTCAACTTAAAATAATGACCCAACAACTTAGGTGGGCCTGTAATGTTGCTCAGGAGTCATATCATATTTTATTTCCTTTACTGCACTCGGCCTCCCAACGTCCTGCATGATTATGTAACACCTTCGCATCTCTCCGCCATTACCAACGCTTTCTTTTCATTTCCCCTTTTGCCCGTGACCTTTCTTCCTATCTCATTAAGGAAAAAGAAGCAATCAGGTAATCAGAAGGGAACTTCCACCAACTCCCACCACCACATCCACCGTCTGTCCTGCTTCTGTGCCTGTAATCTCTATCTTTCCTCCTTTGTAATGGATGAGCTGCTCCTACTCTCATATGGGGCCCAGTGTAGCGCTTTGTGCTTAGGAGAGTATCTCCTCTATTCAAGGAAAATGCTCCATAAATTCTTCCCTCTCTCTCCAGCAGTGTCAGGTTTCCCCTCTCTTGAGTTGAATGCTTCCTATCAGGATACAAACTTGCAATAATTCCTCCCATCTTAAATAAAACTTCTCCTGATCCTACTTCCTCTCCATAAATCACAATCTATCTCTCTGACTCCTTTTACCACAACGTTCCTGGAAAGAGTGGTATGAAATTTCTCTCTCCAGTTCCTGTCTTGCCATTTTTCTCTGGAACCCATTCCAATCTGGCTTTCAGTCTCACTATTCCTCTAAAAATAACTCTATCTAAGGTCGCCAAATGGCCTCTACGCTGCTGAAGGCAGTGATTGATTACCATTCCTCATATTGTCTGACCTGTTAGCAGCATTTGACACAGCTGATTACTCTCTCTCCTGGGAACACAGGCTCCACTGTGTCTTGGTTTCCCTTCTCCCTACTGGCTGCCCCTTCTGGTCCCCTTCACTGGCTCTTCCTCATACTCTTGTTTTTACAGTGTTGGGCATTCCAGCTCTCCGTCCTTAGCCCTTGTCGCTATCCACACTGACTTCTTAGGTGATTCGTTTAGAGCAGTGGCTTTAAGTATCATTTACACTGATACATTGAAGAGTCCCAGATGTGTATCTCCAGCTCAGACCTGTGTCCTGAACTACAGACTTGCATGCCTCGCTGAATCTTGATTTCTCCATTCCGATAAGCATCCTAAACATAACATCTGTAAAACCAAGCTCCTGATCATCTGTCCTGAACCTGCTTTGGCAACTCCATCTTCCCATTGCTCGTGCCAACCCTCTGTTCTCTCACATCCGTCCATCTAATATTTCAGCAATGGCTGTTGACTCTATCTTCGAAATAGATCCAGAATTGAACCATTTTTTTCCCACCTTATCTTCTATTACCTTATGCCAAGCTACCGTCAACTCTCCCTTGGATTCTTGCTCTTGGCACGCTAGCTGATCTCCTTGCCGCTGGTCTTACTCCTCACAGACTGTTCCCAACATAGCAGCCAGGGGATCCTTTAAAATGTAAGTCAGGTCATGCCACATGCTCAGAACCCTTCAGGGGCTTCACTCTAAGTGCTCAGAATGAGTGAGCTGTATCTCTGCCTTCAGCTTCTGCTTCTTCTGCTCATGTGATGCTGGAGTACTCCAGGCCCATCCCTCCTCAGGAACTTTGCGTTGCTCCCTCTGCCTAGAATATTCTTGTCCTCCTATATATCCTCCTCTGCACCACTGTCACATTTGCAGTGAAGACTCCATGACCCCCCTGTAATGGAGAGCGGCCCACCTCACCAAGGCCCTCCCCACCACTCTCTCCCCCCTGCCTGCATTTAACCCCTTCTGACACTATACGCCCAGGCTTATTTTTATTGTCTATCTTTCCCTGCTGGGATGCAGTCATTTTGAGGGCAGGGATTTGATGCACGTGGTGTTGACATGGAGTAAGAATTCAACAGCTATTTGGTGAATGAATGGCGCACAGCAGGAGCGTTTCTTGTGGGATGAATGTTTTCTGTAGGAGGCGGGTGGAAGAAGTGATGCCGGGTTAAAAACCACAGCAGCAGCATCTCAGAAGCTGCAGAGACAACGTTAAGTGCTGAAGGGAAACGGGAGAAAATGAGGTCTAGGCACTGACTCTTCAGTTTATTAGTGGTCATGTCAGACCTTTGAGAGAGCAGCTTCCCAGGTGTGATGGGGACAAAACCTATATTGCAGGGCACTGAGGAGGGAGGAGGTGGAAGGAGCGAATGTAGAGACTCTTAGGAAGTGAAAAGCCAGAAGGAGGTGGGGTGCTAGTTGGAGGAAGAAGCAAGACTAACAGTAAGTGTTTCCTCCACTGGATGAGAGACGTGTTGACTCAGTGAAGCAAAAGCTAGCCGACAGAAGGGCCGAGAGAATAACTGCTGCATGTATGCCTAAGTTAAAGTATTTAGATTACATGCAGCCAGTTCCTGATTAGCTCCATGCGGATTAATCACTTTGGATGATGTATGAGAGCATTTTAATCCCAGGCTTGTACAACGAGGCCGCTTCCTCTGTTGCCCAACTGATGTGTGTTCAGGGGATGAAAACTCGCATTACTGGCATCCTAAGAAAAACAATAATGAAGACTATACAGTTTCTCTCCCCTCTCCACCCTCTTGAAAAATGAAACAACACTGCCTAATTCACCCCGAAGCCAAACAGAGTTTTAGGATTGCTTTGTAGACTCCTATCTTCATTTCCTCTGAGTATAAACGTTAAAACCTCTTGGAGTGAAACTTTCTCAAATGTAGCCTGATTGAGCTTAAGATCTGCTTAAGTCTAGTTTGGAGAGGAGTCTGGATTATGCATCGTTTACAAAAAAAAATATATTCAAATATCTATGGCAACAAGGCTTCCTGGCAAGGCTGGAGGCCTGCCCTGTCTTAGATTTAGAGATTCTTGTCATTACACTAACAATAGGTAAGGAGAAACTTTGAACTCTTGCTCAGCGGCAAGCACAGTGCTAGGAATTTTCATACATGTTGCATCATTTAAATCTGTCTGATCTCACACCTGAGGATTATTGGCCCCATTTTTGCAGATGAAGCACCTGGAATTTAAGCAGGTTTCGCCCCTTGCTCAAGACCACCCATGTGGTGAGGGCAGAGGTGATGACAGAACTTGGCTACCTGACCCCATAGCCCAAAGTGGCTTTTCTTCTGAGTGGCCTCATTCATAACTGGGTGCAGTTGGCGTTTGCTAATGACCGGGTTAGAGTGCTGTGCAGGTGCTGTGTGGACGCTGACCATTTGCTTGTCATTTTCCCCTCATGATCCATGGGGGACTTCATTCTGGTGGGACGGGATGGGATGGTGGGGGCTGTACCCGTGTAGCCCTTTTGCAGGCTCGTGGTGTGGGTGTGCACCCCACCCCTGCAGGACTATGACGGACTCTTTCTCATAGGTGGATGGCTCCTGGGCCAAATGGGAGCCCTACGGCCCCTGCTCGCGCACCTGCGGGGGAGGCGTGCAGCTGGCCCGGAGGCAGTGCAGCAACCCCACCCCTGCCAACGGGGGCAAGTACTGCGAGGGGGTGAGGGTGAAATACCGATCCTGCAACCTGGAGCCCTGCCCCAGTTCAGGTGAGGAGGAGAGGGCAGGGGTGGCCTGCTCCTGGGGAAGTTGACACTGGGGGGCATGCCTCCCTCATCCCCCACACTCTGGATACTTGATGGCTGCAGGTTGACTGCAGTCAAGATTCTATCCCCTAGGGCAAGGTCTGGAAGTGCCGGGGAGCAGATTCCTCTTGGGATCATTTCTTCACCCACTCCCCTTGGGCAGGGATGTTTTGTTCCCCGTGCTTAGGCTGCTGGGCTAAGTGGCCCAAGGGAATGGCACACAGAGATGTCCCCTTAGTTAATTAAGGGGTCATCTCTGTTTTCACCAGCCTTTTTAAATTTAAAATTTATCATTTCCTTCAATTAGAAGTTTAGTATAGTTTTTACTAATCTTTCTATCTAAAATTGTTATTTCTTTTAGACAGCAAAGTACAATACTAGTAGCACTACCCGCAACTTGGTCTCCAGTAGGAATCTTGGGTATCTTCATGTGACATTTCAGTTATTGCCATTTCTCAGAATGGAATTTCTTCTCATCACTACTTGAAAATGACAGTGGTTATTAGATTCATTATTGAATCTTGTTGTGTAATGGGCTAACAAGGAAGCACACATATCACAAATATGTTTCAATGTATATTGATAGTTGTATATCAATATAATTGGTATTGTTTGTCATTGATGTAATTTATTTTATTCTTTTAACAACATTCTGAAAATAGTTTCAAAGACCGCTGAAGGGTTTTATAGCTCCAGACTGTTTAGGATACCTGTTATGGAGGGAGTTGAAGGCGGCCCATTGGTTGGGGGAAGCATGATCAGCTGTGACCAGCATCCTTTGGTCCTAACCTGCTTTAGTTCTTTGAGAAGGGGTGGTGTCAGTGATGAGGATAACTCACATGAGGGTAAGACGTGTTGAAGACCACAGGCACTGAGCACCCTGGGGAGGGGCCTCCTTCTCCCCCATCGCCCCTCCCTTTAGCTTCCTGCATGTGCTTCCTCCCTCCTCAGCTTCAGGCAAGAGCTTCCGGGAGGAGCAATGTGAGGCTTTCAATGGCTACAACCACAGCACCAACCGGCTCACCCTTGCCGTGGCGTGGGTGCCCAAGTACTCAGGTGTTTCTCCTCGGGACAAGTGCAAGCTCATCTGCCGAGCCAATGGCACCGGCTACTTCTACGTGCTGGCACCCAAGGTGAGTGAGCCTGGGGCAGGAGACCAAAGCAGAGACAAAGTCTTTGGGATGCATCCGGCTGAGCCACACTTCTCTCCTTTTCTCCCCATCCTGGGGGCACTGCAGGTGGTGGATGGTACACCATGCACTCCTGATTCCACCTCAGTCTGTGTCCAAGGCAAGTGCATCAAGGCTGGCTGCGACGGGAACCTGGGCTCCAAGAAGAAATTTGACAAGTGTGGAGTGTGTGGGGGTGACAACAAGAGCTGTAAGAAGGTGACAGGCCTCTTCACCAAGCCCATGTGAGTTCTGGGTCCTGGAGCAGAGGGAAGAGGGCTGAGTGGAGCTGCCCCCAGGTGGTGGAAGCTTGGGTTAGACTGGGGTAAATGGGCAGTGCCCTTGCTGTAGAGGCCACTCAGACTCTTCTGCGAGTATGATATTCATCCATCTATCCATCCATCCATCCATCCATCCATCATCCATCCATCCATCCAACCAGTCAACAGAGATGAAGGCTTGAGGAGTCCACCACTGAACAGGAGATGGTAGGGAGATGGCAGAGAATCATTATGGTCTATCTGGAGTTCTAGAGTAAGATTGACCGGTGTTGAAATCTCAATTACCCATTTTCTGGATGACCTTGAGCATGTGACAAAATCTCTGGAATTCTGGATTTCTTCATTTGTATAGTGGGCATGACATGAATATATTTCCTGTTGTGCTGTTGTGAAGATTAAGGTGTCAATCTAAGTAAAATGCTTAGTGTAGTACTTGGTGCATAATAAATGCTCACTAAATGTTCATGATGATGATCACAAAACACAAAACAAGCCTGGAGACAAAATGTGAGAGCCAGTCTCCCTAAAGCCTGAGGCCCTGGCCTCAGGGATGAAATTGAGGTAAGAATGTCAATAAATGGTAGAGTGAGTGGCTAGGACTGAGGGATTCTCCCTTCCTGGGAGATGTGTGCAGGGTCAGGTGAAGAAATGTTTCTATGCCTCTCCTATTCCCATCTCCGGAGTCCAGCTTTCTGAGGTCTGGGCCATTCCCTTTTATTTTCAGGGGGAACGTGCTCCTTGGGAAGTCCTGCTCCAGGCTCCAGAAGGAGCTGGGGCAAGCAGAGTCCCTGAGGTCTCAGTTGAGCAGGGCTATGGTTGGCTCTGAAAATGTGGGAGACAAGGTGCTGTGATAGAAATGCCTAGATGGCTGTCCAGGAGTCTCAACTGCTGCTTCTGGACACAGTGCCCTCTGCTGGGCCTGTAGGTGGACAACTTTTCTGGGAATGGGGGCACTGCAGTTGGGTGGCGTTCACAGGGATCTGCAGGGGGTGCCAAGTCAAAAATTAAAGGTAATCACCCCCAGACTTGCTTCGCTGGCTAAATGGCAGGTGCTCCTTTCATAGACTAGTGGAGCTAGAAGGAGCCTTAGATATTACCTAGCTTGACCCCCTCGCTGTATAGGTGAGGACACTAGAACCCAGAGAGAATGATTTGCCTGAGCCACCAGGGATATGGTGTCCGTGCCAGGGCTTCAAGTGGGTGCCTGACTCCAAGGCCAGTGTGTCTCACTGCGTCTAGCTCCAGCCTTGGGCGCAGAGACTGAAGCCTTGTCTTCTGCCCCTCCCCTACCTCCTCCTCATTCTCAGTTAATATACAGAGAGTGCTTACTGGGTGGGACTATGCCACAGGCTTTATGTGCTTTAACGAGGTATGTGTGATTATGATCTCCATTTCACAGGTGAGGCAACTGAGGCTAAGTGACTCATCCAAGGCCAACAGCTAAGCCAGTGGTAGGGATGGGTCTGGCTCCAAAACTTGTGCTTTACTCTAAACTGCCTTAGAATCTACCACCATGTAGGAGTGTCTGGGTGGCTCAGTCAGTGAAGCATCTGACTCTTGATCTTGGCTCAGGTCATGATCTCACAGTTTGTGAGTTCAAGCCCACGTTGGGCTTTGCGCTGACAGTTTGGAGGCTGCTTGGGATTCTCTCTCCGCCCCTACACTGGCTAGTGTATGTCGCTTTAGATGACGTGGTGACAATCTCAGGTACTGCCTTTTCAGTTCGTGTGCCCCCCTGACCTCCCGCGTTGTGGTTGAGCAGTCTCTGCCGTCTTGGTGACCTCCTGCAGGGGTTGTGAAAGGGGAATTCGCTATGACCTTAGAGGGGGAACGAGGGCATTATGTCCAGGCAGGTGTCTGACACATGATCCCCTTTCTCACCACAGGCATGGCTACAATTTCGTGGTGGCCATCCCTGCGGGTGCCTCGAGCATCGACATCCGCCAGCGTGGCTACAAGGGGCTGATTGGAGATGACAACTACCTGGCCCTGAAGAATAGCCAAGGCAAGTACCTGCTCAACGGGCACTTCGTAGTGTCGGCAGTGGAGCGGGACCTGGTGGTGAAGGGCAGCCTCCTGCGCTACAGCGGCACCGGGACCGCGGTGGAGAGCCTGCAGGCCTCCCGGCCCATCCTGGAGCCCCTTACCGTGGAGGTCCTCTCTGTGGGCAAGATGACGCCGCCCCGGGTCCGCTACTCTTTCTATCTGCCCAAGGAGCCTCGGGAAGACAAGGCCTCCCACCCCAAGGACCCCCGGGGCCCCTCTGTGCTCCACAACAGCGTCCTCAGCCTCTCCAATCAGGTGGAGCAGCAGGGCGACAGGCCCCCTGCACGCTGGGTGGCAGGCAGCTGGGGGCCTTGCTCTGCAAGCTGTGGCAGCGGCCTGCAGAAGCGGGCGGTCGACTGTCGCGGTCCCCCGGGGCTGCGTGTGGCATCTGCCTGTGATGCAGCCCACCGGCCAGTGGAAACCAGAGCCTGTGGGGAGCCCTGCCCGACCTGGGAGGTCGGGGCCTGGTCGCCTTGCTCCAAGAGTTGCGGCCGGGGATTTAAGAGGCGTCCACTCAAGTGTTTGGGCCCCGGAGGGCGGCTGCTGGCCCGGGACCAGTGCAACCTGCGCCGGAAGCCCCAGGAGCTAGACTTCTGCATCTTGAGGCCGTGCTGAATAGGACCATGCTTTTCTCCTCCTCACTCTCCCCCGCGTTGGTGCTGCCAGTGTTCTGGCCAGCTGGAGCCACGGGCAAAGGGCAGTGGTCGGGGGTCCATGTCATGACGTCACCCGCTTCCAGGGACAAGGACCAGGGGTGGGAGTGAGAGGTCTCCTCCTCTTCCCTGGCCTGGGTGGGGGAAGCCAAGTGACTAACGCACAGTCTACCTCATGCTGGGCTCCTCCAGGGCCCAGTCTCTGGGAGAGGCTGAGAGGTGCGGGCTCTGGGCAGAGGTGCCGGGCCCGGTTTTCAAGGGACCTGGAGGATGGGCACCTCCCAGGAAGAACTTCAGGGACCTTGGCCCCCGTCAGGGAGGCCACAGGCTGCTGGAAGAGCCATGGCCCAGCAGCTTGGCACCCTCAGGTGGCCCCGGGGGCTCTAAGCCGTTTCTGAACAAGGCAGGTTTTTATGGTGCTGTCAGCCCACCTTTTCTTTCTGACTGACAAGGACTGAATAATAAAAAATGGCTGGGGTGGGCAAAAACTGGGGGGAGAGTGGGATTAGGTATAACTGGAGCCTGGGCCACCCCGTTTGAAAAGAGGTATATAAGTAGGGAGAGTCCGGAGGTTTCTCATTGTCTTTCTACTCCTGGCCCTCCCTCAAGAGCCACCTCTTCTCCTCGTGTCTAGGGTATCATGCTGGTGGGAGGGCTTCCAAGTACATGCCCTCTGGTGCATTGCAAATAGATACAAAGTGTCAGTAGGGAGCCTATTGCCTTCCTCAGGAGGGATCTGACCATTAAAACAAGATACAAGGGATGATGGATTCTGTGGTAAGGCATGGAGTTTGAAGAGTGACTTAGGGGGTTCTGTGTCACTGGGGCTGGGCTTGAGCTTTGGGGGAATGTTACCCTGGGATGGGGAAGAGGAGGCCCCAGTTCTGATGGCTTCTTCCTTCAGAGAGGCAGGTATAAATAGGGCTGCTGCCTTAGGCTCTGCATTGCCTCAGAGAAGCTTCAGGGTGGCCACGGTCTTATCCCCACTAAGAAGGGCATGGGGGGTGCACAAGAGGGCTGGGTGCTGAACATCCACATGCCTGCAGGTTGGTTTTCACCTAGACAGCTACATGTGGTCTGGCTTTGGGCACATCACGTGGCATTGCAGTTGGATAACGGGGCTCACCGTTTGCTACCTCAGGCTATGCTCTGTGGGAACCCACGCTTGCCCCTCTCTGGGGCAGTGGTGACCCTGGTGCTTCCAGCAGACCTGGCTGTTGTCCTCTGTAGACTGAGCTGCCCAGACACAAAAATGATTGTGTGGTACGTGGTGTCCTGCTCCCCATAGCCCAGCCAGTCATGCCCTGGGGCTCCAAATATGAAGACAGGATCTCTCTCTTCAGGTGCCTTGGGAACAGGTTTCAGGAGACCCCAAGAATCAATGACCTGACCCAGAGGCCCTTGGCAGCCACAATGGGAACTCTTGTGTATCCTGGAGACATGTTGGGGATATAGACACCAGGGTGTTTCCTATAGCTCTAAGTGGGAAGATGTTCTGGGGTTAGCGAGTCTTTGGTCAAGCAGGGTATTTCTTGAGGAAATACAGCACGTACATGGGATGGGAGGTTCTGCTTCTGAGTCAGGTAATATGTCCTGGCTTTTAGCGAGGTAACAGCAGAGCAAGTGTCTTCCCTGGGAAAGGGGTTCAATCCTTTTATTTGGCTTCCCCTAATAGCCCAAACCCACAAACCAGCCATTCAGGCAAGCCTCTGTGATGATTTTACAAATTCCAGCCTAACCCCGAGCTGAGCCCTTGAACAAGGCTCCCCCAGTGGGGCAGAGGGCCTGCAGATCTCTGAGGCAGGGCTGCAGTCACTTCCGAAGACTGAAGTGAGGAGGAATCTTCCCCCCCTGAATGGGTAAACACTGTGGGGCTTCAGCATCAAAGGGGACCCAGGGCACCAGGGCAGATGTGGACCCCCGCTAGCCGACGATAGCACTGCACCCTGTGCTTGGTGCACCCATCCTCAGCGAGGAGGTTGTGGCACAGGGGGTGTGCAGAATAGGCAGGGGAATGGGGTGGGAGGGAAGGGAGCTGCCATCAGTGGGGGGTGACTGACCCCCCTAGCAGGGCGGCTTTACAAATTACTTCAAGGAGGGACAACCTATCTTGTTCCTGACGCAAGCTGGGTCTCAGTGATCTTTTCTGTCATGATGTCTTTCTTTTTCCTTTTTTTTTTTTTTTTTCCTTTTTAAAAGAGGTATGACCAAGACAACTTGGGAGGTTTGTCTTATCCTTGACCATTTTGCCAATCCAACCATGCTCTCCAGGGCTGAGCAGAGACAAGCCTCAAGGTACAGGTTTCTGGTGATGGGATAAAAAAAATTAAGGTGGTATCTCATGTCTGTGGAAGAGGAGGAAGATTCTGGGGGCTCCAGAAACTTCCTCCATGGGGTGTGGATCAGTAAGGATCTGGGCTCTGGAGCCCCCTGCCTCCTCTGCCCTTTGTGTGCACTGATTGGAGGAGTCCAACCTTGTGAACCTTGCCGTGCTGGAGTAGGGGGCTGGGGTGAGCCAAGGGGCTTGGTTGTTCCCAGCCTGGGAGTTGGCTCCCAAAGGCACTAGACACTGTCACTTACAGAGCCCCCTTTGCGTTTGGTTCTTTTGCATTCCACGTGCTGCAGAAGGATGGAAGGACGTGGGTACTGGCTGGGCTGTGTATACTGTGTATACATGGGAGCTGGCTGCTGCGGGGACGACAGCCTGCTCCTAATAAAGTTGTAAGTATTTAAATCAGTGTCCTGCTTCTGTGACTTCATCTCATCCATGCATACATCCCCCTGTATCTGCTGAACACACACGATGTGCCAGCCGTGGGGCTACAATAGATAGAACAGCGACCAGGACGGGCAGTCTCTGTCCCGCACACTCCCCAGGCTAGCTGGGGAGACAGAGTGAACAGTGGGAAGCAAAGATCCAGAATCATGACAGATGAGGTAGGTGTGAGGAAGAGATGAACTGATGCTAAGAAAGAGAAATTGCATCTGGGTATATGTGTGTGTGGTGTGTGGGGTAGAGTGACCAGGGAAAGCCTGGCAGAGGATGGCATCTCAGGGTCAGACAGCATTCAGTCTGTCTCTATTGAATAGACCCTCACTTAGAATACATGCCAAACCTGGGATCTCAAATATTAATAGTATTAATAAGGTTGCAAATACATTGAAATGCACAGTCTTTTGGAGAGGGGGATGGGAGCCTTTCAGAGATGAGCGGCATGCTGGGACATCTTCTTCTGGCAACCAGAAGAGGAGTGGCTATGTAGGAGGGTCTGAGAGAAGGCCTCTGGGGCCGGACTGTGTTGCGGCAAGCCATAAGGGGGGACTGGAGGGTCCCCCATGTGGGGTCTCCCAGGCCCTTGAGGATCCTCCCAAGTCTCCCAAGAGAAAGTTTCATTCTGTTTGAAGACTGTTTCCTTCTTCCTTGTTCAGTTTTGGTCTGAAAATGTTAACAAATATACAGGCAGGAGCCTGGTGTGGCCCCTTTCAACAAACATCCAAGAAGGAGTCCAGAAACTTGGGTTGGTCTTAGATCTAAGTCCTCTTTTGGGACCCCATTTTTCTTTTCTTTTTTTTTTTTTTAATTTTTTTTTAATGTTTTATTTATTTCTAGGAGAGAGAGAGAGAGACAGCATGAGCAGGGGAGGGTCAGAGAGAGAGGGAGTCACAGACTGAAACAGGCTCCAGGCTCTGAGCAGGCAGTCAGCACAGAGCCCGACGCGGGGCTCGAACCCACGAACCGCGAGATCATGACCTAAGCGAAAGTCCGACGCTTAACCGACTAAGGCACCCAGGCGCCCCACGGGACCCCATTTTTCAACTGCAGAGTGAGAAAGGTAGATTTAATTCCTTAAGGTGCTTCCAGCTTTAACAGTTCTGGGTTTCTAGGCACAGTTATGCTTTATACTTTGGCAGATGATTATTTGGCAGTCTGGTGTTCAGACATGAATGGGGTCCCTCTCATGCCTTTCGTGCAGGGCAAGACCAGGAAGTGAATGGCTTCTTCAGGGGCTAATTGGAGACCTATGGGCCCAGGGCTAGGGGTGTGGAGTCAGGGCTTCAGCACTTGATAGAAGGTTCTGGTGGAAGGAGGAACTAGCCAGAAGAGCCCACTTTGACACTGCGAACTAGTTGGAGGCCTAGAAGGGACCAGGGGAGTTTGACTGATGTCTAAGCTAGAAGTCAGCAACTTTAAGGTTTTTGTAAACTTTCTCAAAGCATTGTCATAACCCTGAGGTTGTTATTTCTATTGCCTCTTCTGTTTTCCATTTAGCAATTGCCAATAAAACCTTTCTGAGGAAATGTTCCCACGGGCTGGTCTCTGGGTAAAGGAAAATGGTTTCTCTCCTTACAATGTTTCTGACACCAACTGTGTGGTGGGGTTATTTTTTTCCCACACTAACCAATTTTCCAACTCTGCAGACACCAACTGAGTGTCCTAGAGTTTAAGTCATTTCTGACACTAACTAGCTGGAATTAGCATCAGACTTGACAGGCTTAGGGCTCAGTCTCAAGAGGCTGCCCTCCCTTCAGACACCAGTCACGAGCAGTGGGTCCCCAGGGCATCCACACTTCTGACCGACTTAGCTACAAGGTTGAGTGTTCCCACAGTCTCTGTGGGACATTTGATAATTTGCTGGGTTGGCTCACAAAACTCGGGGAAACATTTACTTATGTTTACACGTTTATTATATAGGATATGATAACAGATATAGCTGAAGAAGTACATAGGCCAAGGTCTGGAAGGGTCCCAGAGTGAAGGAGTTTCTGTCCCTGTGAATGGGGTGTGTCACCCTCCCAGTGGCTCACCAATGCGAAAGCTCTCCAAACCCTGTGATTTTTGTGGAGGCTTTCTCATGTAGGCATGATCAATTATTAACCCAGTATCTCTAGCCCTTCTCCTGTCCCTAGGGAATAGGGGTTGAGCTGAAGGGTCTCAGCTTCTAATCATGGCTTGGTCTTCCTGGTGATAAGTCCTCATCCTGAAGCTATCCAGAAGCCTGCCCAGAGTCACCTTATTAGAATAAAAAAATGCTTCTGTCACCCAGGAAACCAAGGGATTTAGGAGCCCCGTGTCAGGAACCAGGGTCAAAGACCAAACAGAACAAAAGATGCGGCTAGTACCCTTATTACTCAGGAAATTAAAAGGGCTTTATAAGTTTAGTGTCAGGAACTTGGCACAGAGACAAATGTATATTTCCTATGTTGTAGGAGGTCAGCAGATAAAAGAGAAAGAAGTCTGGGTCCCATCCTGCAGCCAGTTAGGCGGTTCAGGAGAGCCAGGTAGGGTAAGGGGGTAGCATGTCACACTGAAGCCATCTGGAGCAGACAAATCTGCCTGAATTATCAGGCTTTCTGGAGAAGGAAGGAGTGGTTTCCTAACTTCCTTGGCCTTTGAAGAGAGGCAGGAACAATTTGCTTTGTAATCCATCCTCATGAGAGGAATGCTTTCTTGCCCCAGTGGAGTAATAGCCTCAATAATTGCAAAAAGGTCTTGACTCCCTGGGCCTCACTCCCCTCGCCCAGCGAGCCCTGGCTGGTCCCCAGCAGCCTGCGCTGGCACGCGGAGGGCAGCTTGTGTGACCCTGAAAGTCTTTCCGTGCCTCCTTGGCTTGCACCCAGCACTGTTGTGTGAGTCAGCCCCGAAGCCTGCAGTCTTAGCAACAAATCCCAGAAGAGCAGAACGTCGCTCTTCAGGCTCTCTGGACGCCGCTGCATTACCCTCAGCCCACGAGAGGATTGCAATGACATGTTCACTGCTCCCAATTGTGTGTGGAAGGACAGGGCAGTGGGTCAGACCCCATGCTACTCAAGAAACTCTGTCCTCACCCTTTCTCTCCCACCCACACTCTCCACCCCTCCCCCTTCATGCTCTACTGGGAAGCCCTTCCTTTGTTTTGTTCTCCTGTGCTTGGTCAGTAATGTAAATCACATTCCGAGCAAGGGCCAGAATGTTGTTGAGGGAGATAAGACTTCCTGGCTTCCAGAGGCATTCCAAGGAAGAAACAGAACTATTTGTTCCCAAAGGAGAGCTATTTTGGCAGAAAGGGTAAGAGAGAGAGGAAGACAGAGGGATCTCCTCATGAAGAGTTGGATTCAGGAAAATGGTGGAAATATTATCATGGTGAATGGTTGGAAGTAAAGATTTCAGCCGCACCCCTAAATTGTTAGAAACAATCCCTTTCTACCCACCCCCAGCCCCTGCCCCATCTGGGCCACAATCTTAGGACTGTATCCACAGCGGCTTAGGCCACTCTGTGCCTGGGGCTTCTGACCAACTTCCCAGAGGATGCTGTGGGCCTGGGATCCTAGTGTCCACAGAGGGGACCCATCACCTCCACCATGGGTGATCCAGCAGGTACTCATACCATGGTGTTGGTGTTGAGGATTTTGAGGAAAGCGCCTTTGAGAGGCTTAAAGAGCAGGATGACATGACCTTTTCAAGAGCCTTTTTGCACTGGGTCTGCAGTGCCTAGGGAATCTGGCCCCGAGATGATGATAGAGATAATCTTATCTGGAACTATGAGGATACTTCTCCATGCAGGCACTGTTCTAATCTACAAACAAACTTCAATTTGGCCTTCATAACCACTCTCTGAGAGTTGACCAATCCAGTCCTACAGATGCTGAAACCTGGCTTTCAAAATGCGAAGGAACTCGTGCAAAGCCTGCTTAGTGAGTGGGAGCCAGGATGCAAGCTTGAGTTTGTTTCCTTCCAGCACTAGGCTCTTCACTACTCTGTTGTACTCTAGGATGGCTTCCAGCCACTTTTGAGGCAGAGAGACAATTAACTGTTTCTTTTGTCCTGAAAGGTTTCTTGAAATGACCTAGGAACATGTTCTTGAGGCTAGGTTTTATGGTTTCTCAAGGACCTCTTAACCCAAACTTGCCCTGATCCCCATAATCTCCTAATAGGAAACCTATTCACCTCATTGCTTATTTGGTATGTTTCCCAGTAGAGCTTCTTCTGAGGTTTTTAGGGCCGGCGTTTAAAGGAGTGACGAGGAGTAAAACTGGCAACGAGTCCAGCAATCCACGTGGCTCTTCATTTTCCTTGGAAACCTCCAGAAGTTTTTCTTCTTCTCCTTTCACTTCCTTAAAATAGTAATTAAATATTTAAAACACACAGAAGGAACAAAGAATGAGAAAATAAAGCCCAGGAGCCAATCACCCAGTGCAAGAGCTAAAACATCACCAGGAGAATTGAAGTTCCCAGAGGATGCCTCCCCTTCATGCCCCTCCCTCTTTTCTTGGCCAGAGTTTATCATTATCTGGAATTTGGTGTTTATTATCCCCAGCCATTCTGTCATTTTTTCACTACATATATCTGGTACCCCAAACAACGTAGTATGCTTTGAATGGTTTTTGACTGCATATGTAGGATAGCATCTGCATATACCTGCACCTCACCTGTGTTCTTCTGCAATTTACTTTCTTTGCTTAACATTAAGCCTGTGGGAGTCATTCATATGGATACAGGTAACTCTCCTTCTTCACTTGTTTTTCAGTCTGGTATATTACTTCATTATGTGGATGTGCATGGTGGACATTAGGTTGTTTCTAGAATTTTGCTAATACAAAACTTTTGCTGTGAAAATTCTTGTAAATGTTTCCCAGTGCATGTATTATATGAGAAATTTTAGGGGTGGAATTTCTGGGCAATGGGGTATGTGTATCTTTAACTTTATCATGGGCTGTTTCCAAAGTATTCTCCCAAAGGGTTTTACCATGTCTGGA